GAGGTTCTCATTATTTATAATGTGAACTACTAGAAGCACGGTGATAAAGACTTCAGGATCGTAGAGAAAAGTCTTAATGCCACTTTTCTAGATAGTTAAACGTGATAAGGAAGATACAAAACTGAATGTTGTGATATTGGTAAAGTAATCCCAAATGATTGCTCACCTATCCACAGCTTTGCTGTGCCTTATTTTGCAAATACCATATGTTCTATTGCTCAGCAACCAGTTCCTTAAACCTCCTGATCTATGTATTTTAACTTCAATGGTTCTTGCATCCTCTTATAGCACTCAAATATAGGTAGCAATCTTGGTTGAGTCATTTAGGTTAAAAGTTCAATCAATCAGAATAGAGCTGGAAGGGACTTTGGAGGTCTTCTAGTCCAGGGGTCCTCAACCATGGCAACTTTAAGACTTGTGGACTTCAACTCCAAGAATTCTGGGAGTTGAAGTCCACAAGTCTTAAAGTTGCCAAGGTTGAGGACCACTGTTCTAGTCCAACTCCCTGCTCAAGCAAGAGACCTATACCATTATAGACAAGTGACTGTCCAGATAACATATCTGCCTAATTTGACTATCTGGTATGCAGACTAAAGTTTCTGTTCCCCTAAGAATTTAATCTCCTATCACCAATACTTGCCTTTTTTTTTTCCAAGGGAAATCGGGGATACCTTTCTTTCTGTCATAGGAATGCTGGGTTTTGCCTCTTTTTTAGAAACTATTGATGACTGCTCTTGTATAGGTGTCTTTCTTCCAGGGGGAAGCTATGAAAGCGATTGTTCAGTTCCCGAGGGACTTCATTGGAGTGGACTAGGCTAGGGTAGATAATAAGGGCTTTGCTCTAAGTCAGTGATGGCGAACCTTTTAGAGACAGAGTGCCCAAACTGCAACACAAAACCCACTTATGCATCGTCGGGTGCCGGGTGGGTGTGGCCCATCGGGTGGGCGTGGCTGCAGTGGTAACGGCAGACTGGGTGGGACTAAAAAGTTCAATCAATTCCAACTTTGCAAGATCTTTCCCCCCCCC